ACTAACCGTAGCGGTTAGTGTAGCGTAACACAGCGGAATTCCCCATTAGCGTTAAGCGTAGCGTAGCGGAATTCCGCCACGACACCGCTAACGCTACGCGTGTGGGCCACAAAACAGGGCCCACTACGCTGCGCTACAGCGGTTTTTAGCCGCTTTTTCTGCTAAAAGCGCTGTAGCGCAGCGTAGCGTAGCGAAAATGCGCTACAAAAGCGATAACACTACAAAAATTTGGCACACAAAAAGCGCCGCTACGCCACGCTTTTTGGGCCAAAAGCGTAGCGGCCCACTGCTGCTCTCACTCATCAATCCGCAACCGGTCTGCGTCCCGGTACTTCCAAATCTCATTTCCACCTCCACCAGGCCCTCCTTCCATTCCCAACCATCAATAACTTTCCTCAAGCAGATACAAGCCCAGCACTGCTCTACTGCAACCAACGACCAGTCTCCCTGCTCAAATTTTCTGGCCCTTTTCAACTCACCAACTCCGCCTCAAAAGTATTTACATTCCTTTTCCTGTTCTTTGGCTCTTTTTTCCGATAACAATATGCAGCTGACTGCATCATTGACCAACCCTCTTCACAGAAATCCGGGTCCTTATTTGTGTCAGCCTGCTACTAATCAGAGCCAGCCTGAACAAAGCATTTTACATATAAATTAGAGATATTATTACTTATATATGTACATACATTTAAAATAATAAAAATATACTATTTAAATAAGTGGAAGCACTATAATAGAGACATTATTACATAGTACACTTACATTGTAATATTTTAAGAGAAAAACATTTAAATAATTAAATAAATACTGGAAAAGAACATTTTTAACCAGAATCTCCTAATAACTTCTGAACCTTAAGCATAACTCAGAATATTATTGCAGATTCTGAATCTACATGCAAAATAACCTAGGGTAGCTCACCAAGTGTACCCCTGAATTATTACTCCTTCACTTACTTTGTAGTCCTTGAGTGATATTAGACTAAAATATACTGTAGACCCCTCCAGTTACATCATACTACTTGTTGTAAGGGGGCTACATGTGTAATTAAGGTTCATGCAGTTCGGGAAAAATCTACAAACAAGGTTTACATCATTGAAACCTTAACTACATGAGCACAGACTACAGTATTAAATTGTTTGGGATGATCTGTGGCCCTTTTTGGCCCAATTGGGACAATTACTCTCTTGAAGATCAACCCATGCATCATGCAGTGCTTACATAGGCTGCAGGAGTGTTACAGTTTCGTCAGAACACCCTGTAAACATGGTTACAAGCATTACATCATCTCCTTGGCACCTGTAACCAAGCTCTACAGGTGCTACAGATGATCAAAAGCTCCCATAGGCTTAGTAGGAGAGTTGTAGCAACTAGAGAGACTCCTGAGTTCGCCTCCAGAGGCCCAGAATGGGTACTTAAGAGCCCCTTCTCCCCCCTGAACTTTGTTTCCCTATCTTCATCAGTACTTACCAGCATAAACCGTCACCAACAACCAGTTTCAACCTGCCTTTTGGCCCAGTTCCTGCTGTTATCAACCTGAATTTCACTCAACAACCCAACACCTGTTCCCCAGCACTCTTCCAACACCTCTCACTCACCTTTCTGAGCGCTTCAAGAACAGTCCCCCTCTCCTGAAGACCTCCTTGGCTTAGAGATAAGTACCAGTAAGTATTATCTCTTTGTTTCTTCAGTAGTAGACTTTCTTCTGGGTTTACTCCTTTGTTATAAAGGACCAGAACTTCAGTACCACCCCTGCAACTCAGGACCTGAATTAGAGGGCACAGTAAAAAACCCCTGAAACTCAGGCCCCTCTGTAAATAAAAACTTAACAGTTTTTATTTACTATTTTCTTTTGTTTTTACACACACTTCCCCCACTTTTCACGTGTCACCCACACGTGTACACATCCCATTTTACCTTTGCAGCTAGTGTAGCTAGAAGAGTTCTGCTCTTGGCATCACTCAGCCTGACAATTGGGGGTCTGGCCGGGAACTATCTTTATTTTTTGATAAAAACCCTGGCCTTATTTTTTCTACCAAAAAATAAATAAAACCCATAAAAAACATTTATTTTTTCACTTTTTTTCGAATTTTTTCCACTAAACACCAAACCAATAAAAACATATTATAAAACCATAAAAATTCATAAAAAACATATCTTTAACTAAATACATTTTTTTCCTATTTTTTTTCCTTTTAGTGGAATTGGAAAAAACCGCTAAACTAATCCAATATTACCTTACTCTCCTTGCGTCCGAAAAAGCACAGCGCGCAGCAAACTATCAACCCTCAGACTGGGAATTACTTACCCCAGACGAACAACGCGCTCGAGCTCTTCGACGCGTACAGATTAGTGAAGAAGAAAGAATTTCCAACCTGATTCTCTGGAATACTATCAAACGAGACCATAAAGAAAGGCGCCGCCAACTTCTAGCTGAACTCCGAGACAAAAGATTAGCTAAGAGTGAGCGCTCATCTTCTCTTGAAAACATCTCCTAGCTGAATCCCTCTCGAGATAATTCTCATCGAAACTTTTTTTCTCTTCGACAATTCAGTGTCGAACACGTCTAACTCCAGCGCTGCAACTACCCCAGCCGCCGGACATACCCCTGTCGCCAGAACTGCCGATAACAGTCCCATAACCGGTTAGTTATTCATCCTCGTCTAACCGACACTCCAAGTTTTTTCATATAAAAACTAACTCTTACCTTTTTTACCCTCATCATGTCTACAAGGTCAAACAATCCAGACCTCCACGGCCCCTTACCCCCAGCCACTCGACCGCGGCGCGGCCAATCAGCTGGAGGAACGCGTGAACCGCCTGAATCTGATCACCATCCAGAAGAAGATGGCGCCAGTGACTGTCGAGAGACCGACAGAGGCGACGTTGGCCGAGAACGGCTTAACTCCGGCCGTCGAGACTCCAGCCACGGCTCGAGCCTCTCAGATCATGGCGAAGACCGCCAAGAATCCAGCGGAGAAAGCCGCGGACGCGATGGATATAGATCCACAAGCGTCGAGCTTCTCGGCGGATACCCAGCTACGCCCCAAGTCCCCGGACGTACGAGTCCTCTCGAAAGAAGAGAGGATCCAGCTCCTCGTCAAAGAACACGTAGCCCTTTGGAAGAGATTCCTAGTGGATCAACCGTTAGGCGCTTCGGAGGGCAACAGAGCACTCCTAACTCAAGCGCAAGACAGCCAACGCGCTCTCCAGAAGTTGATACCTCGAGCGGAGGTCAAGGAATACGTCAAAGGTTGGAACCCTTGGACCGAGAAAAAGAACCTCTTCCCGGTTCTTCAACAGGAAAGAAGCGGGAAGAACAGGAGCTCCTCCTCCCGATCCAATTCCTACAAAGCGCCCAAGATGAACGACCCGCGTCGTTGGAAAAGACTTATGAAAGCCTGCCACACCCTCGAGTCGGGTTACATGAACATGGAGGATTAGATCTTAAGATCCTCACCGCCATTCTAGATAGTCTAGATCTTGTAGATAAGAACCTTTCCGCTATTGATAGTAACACCAAAAGTAACTTTAAGTCAATTGTAAATAGTTTTCATTTGAATACTAGGAAAAATAAAAAAGCGTCTGATTCTTTGTCTGTAAAATTTGATAACATGCTCCGCAATCCATTGTCCATAAACCCTGAGGCTACCAAGCTTATAGCTGAGAATACCGCTAAAAGCCAATTAGCCTGTTCCAAATTAACTACCGCAGTTGATAATTTGAACAATGAATTAACTTCTACAGCGGACTACATATTATCTAAAATGAGAGAAGATGCTCTCCTTGCTAAGAGCGCTAACAATAAAGAGCTAGATATGATTAAAGACCTACTAATTCAACAGAATATAAGATCTGAAGGTATCAAAATACTTTGAATGACATTGGCCACTCTCAGACAAGAAATGAGGACTGAAATACAAGATAATGATCATACTTTATCAGAATTAATTATTAAGAAGGACTTCTCTAAACGCGCTTCTGAAACTTCAGCACCTGTTTTTAAAATTAATGAGCCAAGGTTTAACAATCCTTATATGGAAGAGAAAAATGTGCGCCATGAGAAAGAAGCTGCCCCTCACTTCCCAACTACTCATGGTAAATCTTCACAAGCATTTCATAAGAATAACCCAGAAAAGTCCCAATCCCTTTACCACTCTATGGATTTAGCCACTTTAAATAAAATGATACCACCATTAAAAGATTGGCCTACCTTTAATGGAAAAGGTGATTATGATCATATCAGCTTTATTAAATATTTAGATCATATACTAAGGACTTACAATGCCCCAGATGAAGTAGTTACAGTCAGACTTCCAGGATTATTTCTGGGAGGTGCCCTAGAATGGTTTATTGAGAAAACTGAATCCCTAGGAGCACAATCTTGGGACACTTGGAAAGAATTAATTAAAATTAAATATGGTACCAGACTCTGGGAAAAGAAGATGCGTAGACTATTTGAGACAAATTACTTTGACCCTATTAAAGATGACCCTCATGACTGGTGTATTGCCCAAAAGAAGAGAATTGATTGTATTTACACAAATCAAACAAAAATATTGGTCAATGACAAACTTCTCAGTCAATGTAGAGGAAGTATGGAACATGCTGTTAGATGCAGACTCAAAGACATGGATGTAGATATCTCTGAGCTTATTGAAGTTATGGAAGAAGTTGTTGAAATGATGGGTTTGAACAGGAGAAATAAAATTCCCAATAATAACCCAAAAGATGAGAAGACCAGTAGTAATGCCAATAAGGCTTCAGACAACTTTGCCAGGATGGATAACTCCCATAAGAGATCTGATCAAGCTCCCAGAAAGACAGACATACCTGAATGTTATAATTGTGGGGAAAAGGGCCATAAAAGACCTGAGTGCCCAAATCCCAGGAAAAAGATCAATAATATTCAAGCAGACCCTGACAGTGATGAAGAAGTTTCTTCCAGGTTTGATATGATCCAAGTAGAACCTGATAACTCTGATTTTCATACCAATCAACGTAGAGATGATTCTGAATATGACTCTGATTCCAGAATTCAAGTCATTCAAGCTGACATAGGGGATGAGTTGGAAATTAATACCATTCATGGTGACTCTAATTTACCCCAGAAATGGGACTCCTCTATGGAAATTGGCCACATCTCTGATGCCAAACCTCTTTCAAATAAACCTGAAGCTGGCATGAGTTACACCATGGGTAAGACTAGTTATACTACAGTTATGTTCCAAGGGAAGGAATGGAAAGCCCTGTTAGACATTGGAGCCTTCTGTTCTTGCACCAGTAGTGATTTTCTTGATTTATGTTACCCTGAATGGAGAAACTACCTGTTACCTGTCCCCAAGGCTAAATTTAGTAGTTGTAATTCCTCCATGAAACCTCTAGGAGTAATTAGCATGCCATTAGTATTTCCTCACTCCAAAGGATCATTGAGGCTTAATGTGGAATTTGTTGTGTTACAGGATGCCTTATGTGAATACTTTATTCTGGGAAATGACACCTTTTGCCTGTATGGAATTGATATTTTTCAGAGTAAGAATAGATACTACACCATTGGTGGAGATTGGAAAAGGAAATTCCAAATATGCAATATAAATATTAAAATTCCTGAGCCAATTAACCAAGTATCTTGTCTTACACAGGAAGTCATTAACTTTGATAAAGAATACTTATCACAGGCAGCTGTGAGTGACATTTTGAATAAGGATCAGAAACAAGATGTCCTAAAAATTTGTCATAAATACAAAGAGGCTTTTTGCACCACTGAAGAGCCCATAGGAAATGTGACAGGACATAATATCAAATTAGAATTGACTTGTCAACCTCCTTATCCTCCTGCTCTTAGAAGAGCCCCTTACCCTTCTAGCCCAAAATCCAGGTTAGCATTGGAAACCCATATCAAAGAACTTTTGGATTTAAAAGTTATTAGGAAGGTGGGCCATAATGAGCAAGTTGAAATTACTACTCCTGTCATTATTGCTTGGCATAATGATAAGTCCAGGATGGTGGGGGATTTTAGAGCTTTGAATAATTACACAAAAGCTGATAATTACCCCATCCCCAGGATTGATCACTCTCTACATAACCTTTCTAAAGCCAAGTATATTACTACTATGGATGTTCTCAAAGGTTTTCACCAGATACCTATTGAACCAGAAAGTAGGAAATATATGCGTATCATTTGCCATTTGGGTGTCTATGAATACTTGAGGATGCCTTTTGGTATTAAAAATGCTCCTTCCCATTTCCAAAGAATGATGGACTCTATATTTGGGAAATTTATCCGCCAGAATTGGATGATGGTGTACATAGATGACATTATTATTTATTCTGATGACTGGGATACTCATTTAGAGAAAATTGGACTTGTTTTGGAAATGGCAGTCTCATCTGGTCTCAAAATGTCTATCAAGAAATGTCATTTTGGGTATGGAGAACTCAAAGCTTTGGGCAGAATAGTTTCTGGCTTGACTCTTGCTATTGATCAACATAGAGTAGCAGCAGTATTGCTAAAAGATATGCCTCAGGATATTACTGAAATGCAATCATTTTTAGGATTTTGTAGTTATTATAGGCAACATATCCCTAGTTTTGCCAGTATTACTCACAGCCTTTATGAAATTTGTAGTAGAAATGTAATATTTGAGATGACCCATTCCCGTGTACAAGATTATGAGAAACTCAAACATTTGATGACTACTGCTCCAGTGTTGGCCCAGCCTGATTACACCAAGCCATTTATTTTATACATAGATGCCTGTTTGGATGGATTGGGGGCTGCTTTACACCAAGAATTCCAGATTGATGACAAACCTGTAGAGAAACCAGTTTTATTTATCTCCAGGCAAATTAAATCTA